GACATGCCCAAACTCCTGCACGTCAAGACACCCTGCATCCTTGCAGGACTTCCAAAAACTTCCTGCAAATATTCTATACACTTTGCAACCCTCTAGGACAGGTCCAAATGCCTGCACCTTCTCTAGAAACCTAACACAACTGCAGGACATCTATAAACTTCCTGTAACTCCTATAAATATTATGCAGTAATGCACAGCATGCATGAATTTTCTACACATACTTCAAGACATCCTGCATCCCTTCAGGACATTCTGAACCTCCTGCACCTTCTTTAGACACCCGGCACCCCAGGAGTACATACTCAAACTCCTGAACCTACTACAGACACCCTGTCCATCATGCAGGACTTGACCAAAACCCCAGCAGCTCTAGACACCCTGATCCCTTGCAGGACATGCCTGAAACTCCTGCACCGACTTTTAGACAACTTGAACACCTGCAGGACATTCTGAACCTCCTGCGCCTACTGCAAGGCAACACGCATCCCTGCAAGATATGCCTGAACCTCCTGCACCTCCCGTAGACACCGTGTACCCTTCAGAAATTCCGCAAACTTCCTGCAGCTCCTCTAGAACTGAGCACCCTAGAAGGACAGGCCAGAATCTCCTGCACCTCATCCAAAACACCTTGCACCGCTGCAGGACATACAGGAAACTCCTGCATCTCTTCTAGGTACCCTGAAGCCATGAAGCACGTGCCCAGACTTACTGTACCTCCTGAAACACACCTTGCACCCTTACAAGACATGCCAAAACTCCTGAACCCTATCTAGAAAGTCTGCACCCATGTAGGACATGCCTAAACTTCCAGCACCTCCTTCCAGACAAGGTATAACACTGCAGTACATGCCAGATGCTCAAGCACCTCCTCGAAGACACTCTGCGCTCCTCCAGGATATTCTGAACCTTCTGAATCTTAGCTAGAAATCATGCACCCCTCCAGGACAAGCCCAAAAGTACTGCAACCCCTCTTGATGCCATGCACCCCACCAGGACATCCTCAAACATCCTGCAGCTATTCTAGAAACGTGCACCCAGAAGGTCATGCTGGAACTGCCTTCACCTCATCCAAAACACCCTGAACCCCTACAGAACATGTCCGAACTTCCTACACCTCCTCTAGACACTCTGTAGCCCTATAGGACATCCACAAACTCCTGCACCTCCTCTAAGTACCCTACACTGCTGATGAGCATGCCCGAATCTCCTGCACCTCCTGCATGATGCCCTGCACCCCTGCAGGACATGCCTGATTATTCTGCACATTGTCTAAACAACCTTTCACCCAGCAGGACATACGCAAACCTCCTTCAACTCTTCTAGACACCCTGTACCCCTGCAGCTCAATTCTCAACATCCTGCACCTCCTGCAAGACACTTTGAGCACCTGCTGTACATTTTCTAACCTCTTACAGCTCCTGCAACTCTCTACATGCCCAAAACTCTTGCACTTCCTCTAGACACCCTGTACACCTGCAGGACATGCATAACCTCCCTGCACCTCCTCTAAAGACCCTGCACCCTTTGCAGGACATCACCAAACCTTCTCCACCTCCTCGAAAAACCCTGAACCATTGCTGGACAGGCCCAAATTTCATGCACCTCCGGCAAGGCACCATACACCCCTGCAGGAAATGCCCAAATCGCTTACACCTACTCTAGACACCTCACACCCCTACAGAGAATACCAAACCTCCTGCAATTGCCTGATCTCCCTGTCACCAGCAGGACATACACAAACCTCCTGCACCTACTCAAGACACGCTGTACTGCTGCAAGACATGACTCAACACATGCAGGACTTCCAGGAACCTCCAGCAACTCCTCTAGAACTGTGCATGCTGACAGGACATGCATGACCCTCCTGCACCGCACTCAAGACACCCTACACCTCTGCAGGACACGCCCAAACTTCCTACACCTACTGTAGACACACTACACCCCTGCAGAGCATACCAGAATCCCCAGAACCTCCTCCAAGACATCCGTAACTCCTTCAAAACCTCTTGCACTTCCTCTAGACACCCTGCACCTCTGCAGGACATCAGCAAATCTTCTGTATCTCCTGAAGACACCCTGCACACCTACAGGACATACCAAAACCTTCTACCCTTCCTCCAAGTAACCCTGCACCCTGACAGGACATGCCCGAACATCCTGTAACTGTTCTAGAAAGTGAACCCTTGTAGGACATGCCCAAACTTCCTCTGCATCCTTCAAGACACTTTACACCCCTGCAGGACATGCCTGAACCTTTTGCACCTCCTTCAAGATACTCTGCACCCTCCAGGACCTTCTCAACCTCCTGCACCTCCTGCATGATAACATGCACCCATGCAGGACATGCCTAGATCTATTGCATCTCCTATAGACTCAATGCACAACAGCAGGACATCTCCAAGCATCCTGCAACTCCTTTAAGACCATGCACCCCAGCAGGATATGTCCTAACTTCCTGCACCTTCTCTAGATACCCAGAACACCTGTAGGATATGTGCAAACCCCCTCCACCTCCTTGAAAGTCCCTGCACCCCTGATGGTCATTCCCAAACCTCCTACACTTATTCTAAACATCCTACATCCGTGAGGAGAATACCAAACCTTCATTTCTCTGAACACCGTGTCACCCAGCTGGACAAACACAAACCTCCAGCACCTGCTTCAGACACCTTGTACCCCTGCTAGACATGTTCCTCCTGCAAGACACCGCGTACAATGCCGGGCATTCCCTAACCTCCTGCAGCTCCTGGAAAATTCTGCAAACCAGCAGGACATGCTCGAACTCCTGCACCTTCTATACACCCCCTGCACCGCTGTAGCACATGTCCGAATCTCCTGCATCTCCTGCAAGATACCGTGCACCCCAGGAGGTCATAAACACACTTGTGAACCTACTATAGACACCCTGCACACATGCAGGACTTGCCTGAACCTCCAGCAGCTCCTCTAGAACTGTGCATACCAGCAGGACATGCCTGAACCTCCCGCACCTCCTCCAAGACACTCTGCCCCTCTTAAGGACATTCCGAACCTCCTGTAACTCTTGCAGGACACTCTGCACCCCTGCAGGACATGCCTGAACCTCCTGTACCTCTTCCAAATGCCATATACCTCAGCAGGATATCTGAAAACCTTCAGCTCCTGCACCACAGACGGACATGTTCGAAACTCCTGCACCTCCTCTAGAAACCCTGCACCCCTCCAGGGCATACCAGAATCACCAAAACCTCCTTCAAGACACCCTACTCTCCTGAAGCACATGCCTGAACCTCCTGTACCTCTTCCAGACGCCATGCACCTCAGCAGGACATCTGAAAACCTTCAGCTCCTGCTCCACAGAGGGACATGTTCGAAACTCCTGCACTTCCTCTAGAAACCCTGCACCCCTCCAGGGCATACCAGAATCACCAAAACCTCCTTCAAGACACCCTACACTCCTGAAGGACAGGCCTGAACCTCTTTCCCCTATGCTAGACACCCTACACTACTGCAAAGCATTCCAGAATCTACAGAAATTCCACCAAGACAACTAACACCCCTTCAGGACATACCTGAACGTTCTGCACCTTTGCAAGACATCGTGAAACACTTCAGAACATGCCCAAACATCCTGTACCACCTTCAAGACACCCTATACCCCGGAAGAACATGGCTGAACCTTCGGCATCTCCTCTCAAAGCCATGCACACCAGGAGGACATCTGAAAACCTCTTGCAGCTCCTCTAGAACCATGCACTCCCAGAAGGATATGCCCTACCTTCCTGCACCTCCTCTAGACACTGTGCACCCTGCAGGACATTCCCAAATCTCCTCTTCCTCCTCACAAGACCCTGAATCCCTGCTGGACATACCTGAAACAACTGCACCTCCAGAAGACAACCTACACCCAAGCAAGACATGCCCGAACCTTCTACACCTACTCTGGACACCCTACACCCCTGCAGAGAATACCAAATCTCCTTCACATCGTCTAAACACCCTGTCCTCCAGAAGGATATACACAAGCCTCCTGCACCATTCGAGGCACCATGTACCCCTGAAAGACATGCCTCATACCAGCAGGATATGCTCAAACTCCTGAACGTCCTCTAGATACCCTGCACAGCTGCAACATGTCCGAACCTCCTGCACATCCTACCAGACACAGTGCATCGCAGGAGGACATAACCACACTCCTGAACCTACTATAGACATGCTGCACACAGGCAGGACTTGCCCAAACCTTCTGAATCTCCAAAAATCTCCAAAACACACCTGCATCCTCAAATGTCCTGCACCTATTGTACACACCCTGCAACCGATCAGGACATGGCAAACACCTGAACCTCCTCTAGGTATCCTGCACCTCTGCAGGACATGCCCGAACCACCTGCAACTATTCTAGAAACTCGAAACCCCTGTAGAATCTGCCCAAACATCCTGCACCTCCTCTAAGACACCCTCCACCCCTCTAGGACATTCTGAATGTCCTGCACCTTCTGCAAGACACGCTGTACCCCTGCAGTACATGCCCAAACCTCCTGTACTTTGTCTAGATGCCATGCACCCCAGTAGGTCATCTGCAAGCCTCCTTCACCTTCTCTAGACCTGTACACCCCCAAAAGACATGTCCTTACTTCCTGCACCTCCTCTAGATATCCTGAACCTCTGCAGGACATGCCCAAACCTCCTGCACTACCTCCAAGCTCCCTGCATACCAGCAGGACATGCATGAACCTCCTGGATCTCCTTCCAGACCCTATACACAACGGCAGGACATGCACAAACCTCCTTCACCTACTCCAGACACCCCAGAACCCTGGAAAACATACCAGAATATCCAGGACCTCTATGAAGTCACCGTACACCCCTTCAGGAAACATCCGAACCTTCTTCACTGTCTCTCGGCACCGTGCACCCTGGGAGGACAACAGCAAACCTTCTGCAGCTCCTCTAGACACCCTGTCCCCCTGCAGGACATACCCAAACATCCTGCATATCCTCCAAGAAACCGTGCACCATTAGCAGTACACGCCCGAACTTCCTGTACCTCTTCTGGACACTGCACCCCTGTTGAACATGACCAAACCTCCTGCAAATGTACAAGACAGGATACACCCCAGGACATAAACACACTCCTGAACATACTATAGATACCCTGCACACATGCAGGACTTGCCTGAAACTTCTGCATTTCTAAGACACTTTGCACCCCTGCCGGACATCATCAAACCTCCTGCACCTGTTCTAGAAACTCTGCACTTCTGTAGAAAATGCCCCAAACTCGTGCACCTCCTTCAAACCCTGCGCTCACCTGCAGTACATGCCAAACCTCATGCACCTCCTCCAAGACACTCTGAACCCCTCCAGGTCATAACTGAACCTCCTGCATCTTCTTCAAGTCACCATTTTCCTCTGTAGGACATTTCTCAACCTCCTGTAGCTCCTCTAGAGACCTTCACACCCGCAGAACATCCGGAAAGATCCTGCACCTCGTCCAACATACACTGCACCCCTGCTGGACATCCTCAAAACCTCCTTGAGCCTCCTCTACTCACCCCCAATAAACACCTCCCACAATTTCCTCCAGAGCTAACCACTCTCGCACAGGACAGCCTCAAACTTCCTACACCAACCGCTGCAACTCCCCTCCAACACCTCCCAAAGCCTCTTGCAGACATGCTGCACCGCGGCCAGAGTCCTCCCAGACCCACACCCCCTCCAGGACCCTCCCGACCTGCTCTATCCCCCTTATCACCCTCCCAGACCTCCAGACCTCTTCCACTCCCCTCCAGGACCCGTGTTGGGGTATGCAGCTGCTTCCACGGAAAGCACAAGGGGCCCAAGTTTTCTTCCCAGGACTTCCTACCTCTGGGCGAGTTAGAAAGTAACAACACAGATTTGCAATTTTCATAAATTTATTTAGTCCCCCCAAAATATTCCATTCATGTTTAGGCCCGGAAGTACATTAACAACAAAGTACATAGATAAGGAAAGTTGTAATATATGTACTGCTTGTGGGTGACTAACTTCCGGGACCTGGCTTCTCCTTACACTGAGGGGGTCTCTGGTTTGTCTTCCGTACCAGGGTTCTCATGGGGACCCATTGCTATCCATGCCAGTAAGACAGAACGAAGTCTGTTGTACAATTCCAGGTCTGTGCTCGCTTCCCCGAGCAGATCTGGCCCAGCGGTAGTCAGGGCTGCCAAAATATTGCTAGGCGCGGCCTCAACCAGGCCCCCCTCCTCCATGGGATTAACGCTGCACAAAGCAGATGAGCAACTACCATTAGGCGCGGCCTCAGCCGTGGGATTAGCATTTTCCACGGCAGAAGGGACCAGAATATTGCCAGGCACGTGAGGCCCACCTTCCTCAGTGAAAATAAAGTTTTCCATGGCACTAGGCACACCCTCACCTGGGCCATCTACTTCCATGAAATTAAAATTGTTCCAAGCAATTGAAAAACTATTACCAACTAAGTCGTCATCAAGAGGCCAACCGTCCTCAGTAAAAGGAACATTCTGCACAGCAGATGGGAAAGCCCAGCTGCTTGAAACACCCTCATCCTGAGGCACCTCCTCCTCCTCGTCCTCCTCGTCCTGTTCCTCGTCCTCCTCCTCCTCTACCTCCTTCTCCTCTTCCTCCTCCTCCTCTTCCTCCTCCTCCTCAGTAACCTCACTACTCTCCAAACCAGGAATCGCCTCAGCATGGCTGAGGACACCCTCAATCTCCCTGGTCAAGGCAACGTTTTCCTCAGCTGATGGGAACAGAACAGTACCCGGGGGCCCCTGCCCGTGAGGCCCGGCCTCCTCGCTGGAGGCGCACAGCAGATCGCTAGTCCGGGCCTGGGTGTCACAAGCACTGTCCTCACTGGATCGGGCTTTGTTCTCGGCCAAAAGGCCAGGGGAAACCCTCAAGCCACTGAGGCAGTCCCAGTCAGGTTCTGCGACAGGGTGAAGGCGCGGGGAGCAGCGTGTGGGCTCCATCCTCCTCCTCTTCCTGGTCTGGGCGGTTGGGGGCCTCTCGTGGCCCTTGCGACGGATGTTGTTCATCAACTGCGGCTGATCTCGCTGGAAGTTGTGGTTCCGGTACGCCTGCGGGGACATGCGGCTTTGGCTCACACACACAACACGGTGCAAGGCCCAGCTTGACCCCTTCACACATTCCTTCCATGTCCCGATTCACAGCCCCTATTCTCCTGGCTCTTGGGGATCATAATATGTTTACAATATCTGCGGCATTGACTAGCAATTAAATTTAAATATCAAATAGTATTATCACCTGACTACAATATAATTGATAATATCAATTTTCGATACCAGTTTCTTAAGACATCTATTATAGACAATTTATATTAAAACAAGTAATATAAACACAGTTATTATGAACATGAATGGCAAATGCATCGTTTATGCAGTGACTAATATTCATGCACCATATAAATTTACATATATAAACAGAATACATAATATATGATGAATATTCTACATTGTTTAAGTAACTTTTGTATTAATACGAATATCAATGACTACATTTAAGATGGGCTGGAGCGATAGCACAGCAGGTAGGACGTTTGCCTTGCACGCAGCCAACATGGCCCACCCGAGTTCAATTTCTCTTCCCCTCTCGGAGAGCCCGGCAAGCTACCGAGAGTATCTCGCCCGCATGGCAAAGTCTGGCAAGCTACCCATGACTTATTGGATATGCCAAACAGTAACAACAGTCTCACTATGGAGACATTACTGGGCCCGCTCCAGCAAGTCGATAAACAACGGGAGGACAGTGACAGTGACATTTAAGATATTATAAATATATGGTAGTAACTGTCACTGTCATCCCGATGTTCATCTATTTGCTGGAGCGGGCCCAGTAATGTGTCCATGGTGAGACTTTGTTGTTACTGTGTTTGGCATATCGAATACATCACGGGTAGCTTGCCAGGCTTTGCCATGCGGGCCAGATATTCTCGGTAGCTTGCTAGGCTCTCGAGAGGAGTGGAGGAATCGAACTCAGTGGGCCATGTTGGCTGCGTGCAAGGCAAACGCCCTACCGCCGTGCCATTGCTCCAGCTATTTATCAGTAAATTAGGATATTAATTAAATACATAATTAATGAGTAGTATATTTTATAGTTTCTTGTAATAAATTGATCATATTAATGTAGTTATGTATCATAACCGATATATAACATTCATAAAAATATTCATTTATATTAATTGATTATATATTGACCTCTTAATTTATAGATAAGTTATTGATAAATTATGTCTTTATTATTAAAGTATTATGCTAATAAAATATATCATTAATAAGTTGATTCAAATATCATTTTATTATTTTCATATACATATTACATTGTTATTTTAATAAAGCAATAATATATATCATGAAATATACAAATGACTTGCTATGTGTTTATTTTAATATAGTAATAAATGCAGTCAGTCTCCTGCCCCTACGCCTGGCTGTTCCTCGCTGGGGTCCCTTGGAGGGGAGTGGGTTGAGCTTTCCTCCCCGCCCCGACCAGGGCTCCGGCAGCCAAAGACCTCCATGACCAGCCACCACCATGCTGAGACCACTCTCCGCACACATGAAGGTACTGGCAGAGGGACAAAGCCACGCGGGTTCTGGGGCCGAGATCTCCAAGCCTACTTGGATTGGAGTCGAGCATCCTCCACCCAGATCCTCCAAATTCCAGTAGGTGGGGGTCACACCCACCACCTGGCCCCCTGGCGCCGTGTAATCCCATCAACGGCCAAGACTCAGAGACTATAAAATCCAGCTCCCGGAACCGCGCGGCCACGAATGACATCTTATCAGGACATCTTTTTATGATATCTTATTATCTCATTCCTACTTTGGACAAACTTGCAGGCTATCGAATATAGCCTGCCCACAGGGCAGAGTCTGGCAAACTCCCCGTGGCGTACCAAATATGCCAAATACCAGTAACAATGATGGGTCTCATTCTCCTAAAGAGCCTTGAATATAATCTCAGGGCTAGGATGAAAGAGACGTTAGTGGGGCCTGCTCGAGGCAATCGATGAATAACAGGATGATGAATGAATGAATGAAAGTAATAAATGCAAAATTTAGTTACAATTTATATTCAATTTAATTTGACAATAAAAAGAATATACTTAAATGATTTACATTAACTTGTAAAATTACAATTCATTAATAATTGAATTACTTTTCATGTAAAGTATGATTAAGATGTTAGAGCATTAATGAACACTTAGAAAATATTAATGCATTATAGGTGATTAAAATTGAATGTGGTTATATTCATAACAATAAAATTAAGAACTTATATTTATATTTCACAATTTGTTATAGTATACGATTTAACTGAAACATGTGTATAGTGAAAGGATTATAATTAAGGTTGTGAATATACTACAGTAAACGAATGTATATTGACTTCATTATAAGATTTAATTTTCCAATATTGATATTATTTCACATTAGTCTTTATTACTTTGCAGCCCTTTCTCCCCGCTCTGTGAAGTAGAATTTTGCACGAAGGAGACGGTGGTCCGATCCCGTTCGAAATTTTGGGACAACAGCGACATCAGTCAGGCAAAACCGTCGATTGAATATGATGTGGTCTATTTCGTTGTGGAATCGTCCACCGGGAGACTCCCATGTCCATCGTTTAGATTCTGCCTTCTGGAACTGTGAGTTACCATGAATGGTCTTGGTCGACATGATGAACTCAGACAGTCTCTCACCCTGTTCGTTCCATTCTAGGCCATGGGTTCCGATGTGAAGTTCTTCAGCTGATCTTCTCGGTCCTATCTTGGCATTAAAATCACCCACAATGATCTTGTAGAAGGTGTGGTCTTCTTTATAGAATTTCTCTAGCTCCATGTAGAACTTCTCGATTTCTCTTTCATCATAATGAGATGTTGGTGCGTAGACAACGAAGATAGAAACTGCAGGCAGTGAGCCACATCTATTCAAATGTAAACGTCCGATTCGGGTTGTTAGGCATTCGAATGAATCAATGCTCTTGGCCAAGTTTGTGTTGATAAGGACACCAACGCCTCCAACACCTCTTTTATCGCATGTTCCGAGGAACAATTCTTCTCCAGTGTCGAAAACGGCATGGTGAGATTCGTGTCTTCTTGTCTCGGTCAGACCAATGATGTCGTACTTGATCATTCGCGCTTGTACCATCAGGTCCTCGATGGATGCATCTGATGCTAGCGTACGTGCATTGAAAGTACAGACGATCATTTTTGTCTTCCTTCGTTGTGGCAGCCTAGGTCGGCCTTGAGATTTTGTCGGCCTCTCCTTTCTCATCCTTCTCAGTGCTGCCATGTCGGTGAAGCCTTCAGGGTCAGGTGAATGAGACCAGTTGTAGTTACTGGTTTTGGCATATCGAATACACAGCGGATAGCTTGCCAGGCTCTTCCGTGCGGGCGGAATACTCTCGGTAGCTTGCCAGTCTTTCCGAGAGGTATAGAGGCTTTTGGGGTGACCTCTAAACACCCTTGTAGGTGTTACCATATTTGAACCCTATCAAATATGGTACGACAATTCCAGAAGACGGGTATTTAGTGTCTTATGATGTGTCGCGCGGCCGCTTGCGGCCGCGCGGTTCCAGAAAGCGTCCTGGAGTGTGGCGACGGCTGGGTAGTGGAAGTAGTGTCGAGAGTGGAAGTCTGCCAGTGGGGTATTTATCTGGGTAGGGTGGGTCTCCTGTGCACAATTCGATCCCTTGTTCTGTGGGTCTTCAGTTGTGCGTGGGTCTCGGCCGGAGCTGCCGCGCGGTTCCGGAAAGCGTCCTGGAGTGTGGCGACGGCTGGGTAGTGGAAGTAGTGTCGAGAGTGGAAGTCTGCCAGTGGGGTATTTATCTGGGTAGGGTGGGTCTCCTGTGCACAATTCGATCCCTTGTTCTGTGGGTCTTCAGTTGTGCGTGGGTCTCGGCCGGAGCTGCCGCGCGGTTCCGGAAAGCGTCCTGGAGTGTGGCGACGGCTGGGTAGTGGAAGTAGTGTCGAGAGTGGAAGTCTGCCAGTGGGGTATTTATCTGGGTAGGGTGGGTCTCCTGTGCACAATTCGATCCCTTGTTCTGTGGGTCTTCAGTTGTGCGTGGGTCTCGGCCGGAGCTGCCGCGCGGTTCCGGAAAGCGTCCTGGAGTGTGGCGACGGCTGGGTAGTGGAAGTAGTGTCGAGAGTGGAAGTCTGCCAGTGGGGTATTTATCTGGGTAGGGTGGGTCTCCTGTGCACAATTCGATCCCTTGTTCTGTGGGTCTTCAGTTGTGCGTGGGTCTCGGCCGGAGCTGCCGCGCGGTTCCGGAAAGCGTCCTGGAGTGTGGCGACGGCTGGGTAGTGGAAGTAGTGTCCAAAGAGTTCACCAACTGGGAACTCTTTGGTACTATTGCGGCAACATGGGAAGATGCCATTGTTGACAACATTGACGAGGAATACGATCGACTGGTTCAGCACCTCCATGAATGTGCGAGGAACGCCAAGAGAGAGATAGCCACAAAAAGTCGCCTATCTTCGAAAACTCTTGAGCTAATTCGCCAGCGTGGTTTGGCGCATGCCTCAGGCAACCGCAAGCTAACGTCCGAGCTTGCAAAGCAGTGCAGAGATGCGATCAAGGAAGACCTCAAAGAGAGAAGAGCAGAAGTACTGGTAGATGCGGCAGAAGCCGGGAAAAGTATTCGTAACGCCCGCCTGTCCTTCGCCAACTATAAGACCAAGATGACTGCCCTCCGACGTCCTGATGGATCCATCACATCCTCCAGAATGGCAATGGAGAAGATTATCCATGACTTCTACTCAAATCTCTTCAATAGCCATGTCCACTTGCCGACATACCAAATTCCACAGGATGGGTATGTCGTTCCCAACGTTCTCCCTTCCGAAATCCGACACGCCATTTCGTCAGTAAAGAAGCAAACAGCACCCGGCCCAGACAAGGTCAGACCTGAACACCTGAAGAACCTGCCGTCAGTACTCATCAATACACTGGCTCGGCTCTTCACTCGCTACCTGTCTGAATGCAAGGTTCCATCTCAATGGAAAACCAGCAGGACCGTACTACTGTTCAAGAAGGGAGACATCCATGACATTGGCAACTAT